GAATAGAGTGATTTGTTGTAATGGTGTTTGTAAATAGAATCTCAAGTCCGCATCTTATACAGCAATTAACCACTAAGAAGAATATATGCAGTGTGTTAGTTATTGAAACTGTACTACCGATTTGATTTGAAACTGTCTCATTGCTATCTGTTTATCAATAAAATTTTGAAAAAAAATATAAGGAATTATGCAAATTTTATTTATTTATTTACTTATTTATTTTTGTATTTAGGGAAGGGTCTACAGGGTCTTCAGGGTCTCACTACTAGAGCAGTCTTGCAGTGATCCTCCTGTTTACAGCCTCCCAAGAGCTGAGATTACAGATGCATGCCACCACTCCCAATCTCAAGTGCCATCGCAGCGCACCCCGAGGTTGGGGCTGGCACAACAGGCCCAAGGATCAAAGCCCCAATATGCCAATTTTAAATATACACTTTCCAAATAAAAACCTTCACAACCTACATAATAAAAATCAAAATATATAAAGAAAAAATAATGATAAACAAGTGGACATTAACAAATACAGGAAGAATACAGATTATTAAGTAAACTACTATCATAGCAAGAGGTCTCTTACATAGTCCTTTAAGTTACTGAATAGACACGCTTGTCCAAATTTTATAAATAACATGAGTTTTCCATCCAAAAAAATATGCATTTGTCAACACAGCAAACAGAACCTTTACAAAAATTGATTAAGTTTTATGTCATAAACAAACTTGAAACAAATTTTAACAATTATGTCATTTGTAACATGCTAGTATACATTTTAAAAATATATGCAAGGGCACATGCCTCTAATCTCAGCACTGGGGAGTCTGATGCAGGAGGACTACTGCATGTTCTAGGCCAGCTTGAGCTACACAATGAGTTCAAGATTACTGTGAACTACATTGTTAGACCCTGTCCCAAATAATACTAACAATAAATCATCATCATCATCATCATCATCATCATCACCATCATCAGGAAGATAGGGTTGTAGTTTTAAACTCATTCAATCATGAAGTCCTGCCATTTCCTATACCCTGTTATTTCACAGAATTACCATTAAATATCCAGACCCTTCTTTTTAAAGAATGCACAGCTTTATAAATGCTCCCTGAGAAGTTTCTTTCTTGACATGTTGCTATTTGCCCCCTAGGCCTTAGAAGCTTGCAAAGACGCTGGCTTGGTGAAATCTCTTGGAGTCTCTAATTTTAACCGGAGGCAGCTGGAGAGCATCCTGAACAAACCAGGACTCAAATACAAGCCGGTATCCAACCAGGTACAGCTGAACAGCTCCCCCAGGTGGACAGCAGGACCAAATATTATACTTATGTATCAAATATTATACTTAAATATCAAAAATATCAAGCCAAGAAGTCTTGTGGTTGCTCACTATAAATATCCTAAGACCCCGAGTAAATCTTTTAACTTTCTCAATTTACTTCTTTAAGTAAAAATACTTGAAACCTCAAATCCAGGCAAAAGTTGTTTTGCAGAAAAGCAATGAAGGGGAAATAAGATCTTCTAGGTATTGATACAGCACAGGATATTTAAAATAATGTAGGGCTGGTGAGATGACTCAGTGGTCTAAAGCACCTACTTAGAACAAGCTTGGCAAAGCACAGGGACCACGGTTCAATCACCCAGTACCACATGCCAGCCAGCCCTGCCTCCTGGTGGGCTGAGCTGGCCACACACACACACACACACACACATAAATAAATAAAATTGTAAAAATAAATAAATAAAATAATGTAAAACCTGAGAGCTGAGGCAGAAGGATTCCTTAAGTCAAGGGTCTCATAGCAAGTTTGGGCAAATCTAAGAACCTACTTCAAAAAAAATAATTTAAAAACAATTTAGAGGGGCTGGTGAGATGGCTCAGTGGTCTAAAGCACCTACTTAGAACAAACTGAGCTAAGCAAAGCACAGGGACCGCGGTTCAATCCCCCAGCACCACATGCCAGCCAGCCCCGCCCCCTGGTGGGCTGAGCTGGCTACACACACAAAATAAATGAATAAATAAATAATAAATAATGTATTTAAAAAAGCAATTTATAAACATAGTAAGCAGGGAATGGGCAAGCATATGGCAACTTCAAGGTCAGCCTGAGCAATTTAACAAGACCTTGTAAAAACAATTATTAAAATTAAAGGGCCCAGATTGTAGCTCAGTTCTCTCTAAGTTCAATCTCCAGTACTACAATCAATTAATTAACAATATTAAATTAAAGGGGGCTGAGGAGATGGCTCAGTAGAATAAGTGCTTGTCTGGCAAGTACAAGGACCTGAGTTCAATCCCAAGTTCCGACAAATAATAATTAATAATAATAATAATAATAATAATAATAGTAATAATAATAAAACACATTAAATTATGGAATGGCAAAAACCAACATACAAATAAATTGAAGATGACAAGCATTTAGGAACAGACCAGTCCTCTTTTCCAAATGGAACCATGCAGGATGTCATAGAGAAGAAAAAGTAGGTTCCTGCTGTGCCAGAAACCCTTAAGAAAAAGTGAAGAGATTTCACAGAGTTGAAGATAAAGTGCCTGAGAAAGAAGTTTGCCCAGAAGACACTTCACAAAGTGAGGAGGAAGCTCATCTACGAAAAAGCCAGGCACTATCATAAGGAGTACAGACAGATGTACAGAACTGAGACCCGAATGACTAGGATGGTAAGAAAAGCTGGCAACTTCTATGTCCCAGCAGAGCCCAAACTGGCATTTGTCACCTGGATCAGGAATATCAATATTGCAAGTCCAAAGGTCACCAAGGTGTTGCAGCTTCTTTGCCTTTGCCAAATCCTCAATGATACCTTTGGTAAGTTCTACAGGGCTTCAATTAACATGCTGAGAATTGTGGAGCCATATATTGTGTGTGGGTACCTAAACATGAAGTCAGTAAAGGAACTAATATACAAGCATGGCTATGCCAAAATCAATAAGAAGCGAATTGCCTTGACAGATAATTCATTGACTGCTCTATCTCTTGGCAAATGTGGCATCATCTGCATGGAGGATCTGATTGATGAGATCTATACTGTTGGAAAACGCTTCATAGAGGCAAATAACTTAATGTGGACATTCCAGTTATCATCTCCATGAGTGGAATGAAGAAAAACACCACCTATTTTGTGCAAAGTAGAGATGCTGGAAATAGGGAAGACCAGATCAACAAGTGTATTAGAAGGATGAACTAAGGTATCTACCATGGTGTTTTTATCATTTGGTCAGTCAATAAAGTATCTGCTTCCAAATTTAAAAAAGAAAAAAAAAAACAGACTAAAGCATAGTCAAAACTTACCATAAAGTAACACAAACTAATGGTAAGGGAATACATTTCATTTATACAATAGTTTGATGAGATAGTTGTGTAGAAACAAACAAAGCATAGCCTCACCTTACTCTAAAGTTCTCTCCCTTTGGCCAGAAGTTAAAGAGAAAAGCAGAAATCATGTGTACAAAAATGAAAGAATTTTAAGTTTTTTGAGCCCTGGATAGAAAGGGAAGCCATAGAAAATCATGAAGAAAATTTGATAAATATAATAACGTAAAAATGCAATAAATAAAAAAAATAAAAGTGCTGAACTCAAAAAATATTTGAAGCAGGCTAGGATGTAGTTCAGCAGCACAGCACCTGCCTGGCAAGTGTGAGGTCTTGGGTTTGATTCCTGATTTAAAAAAAAAAAATCTAATATTTAAATGGCAATGGAATACCCATCTCTGACAAGACTAAACAGAAAAAGGAGACACAAATGAAGGACCATCTTGTATTTGTATATACAAAATAGTTAGGATAGATATACAGCTACTTTTGCTAATTCAATGAGAACAAAGATTTGTACTAATAGTGTTTGGACAGGATATCATGTCTACCTCTTGTACCATGAATAGCTACTATGAAGACAAAAATATGCAATGTATTAATTATTGAAAGTGTCCTACTAATCAGTTTTGAAACTCTCATTGTTATTTGTTTATCGATAAAATTAATTAAAAAATCTAAAAATATCATAAGCAAACAAAAATAGATAATTATATATTTCAGGTAGAATAAAATAGTGGTTCATATCCTCATGAATTCAAGGACTAATTATAATCAATGGAGAAAACAGAAAAAAGTCACTAAATCTCAACATAAAATGAGCACAAGAGTGGACAGAAATTCTCAGAAAACTAATTGCAAACGGGTAAACATGAAACATGCTGAACTCTCTAGTAATTATAAAAATATAAATTTAAATGTGAGTACTTTTGTGTTTCATTATAGTGCTCTGGATAGGCACGTGACAAAATGCTGGTGACTGTAAGTTGGCTCTGCCTTCCTGGAAACCAATGTGACATGTATCCAGAGCCATTAAAAACATTTCAAAAGCTTCTATTTCTGAGCCTCTATGTGTATTAGTCAGCTGTATCTTACTTGAGCCACAATACTTGAAACTCACAATTTAAAAGTGAGGCTTAATTTGGCCCACAGTTTCAGGGCAGTTGGTCATTGTTTGGCAGGATTCAAAGCAAGATTGCATAGTGAAAGTGTGGCAGAACAAAGTTGATCAGCTCATGGCAGCCCAGAAACAAAGCAAGGAAACAGTGCCAGGGAGGAAGAGGCAAGGGCCAAGACATAGACTTTAAGGCTATGACTTTACAACCCAGTCAGAAGTATGCTCTACCAATCCAGCAAATGCCTCCCGCAGCAAATCAAGTTCATAGTCCACTCTAACCACCAAATTCAATCCTTGTCAACAAACACATCTCTTTAACCCATACTTACTCTCCAAATAAAGATCCTAAGTTTACAATATAGCCTAACATAAGCAACTATACTGTCTATAACTGGAAAGACAACAATCCCTTTCCCAGCATTTTTCAAAAGTTCACAAACACAACTCTTTTTCTGAGACTCAGACAAACTCTTACCATGAACGTCAATAAAAATCAAAAACAAGTTACAGAATGCCAGAATACAAACAGCATGGTGTGAACAATCCCATTCCAAAAGAGGGGAATAAGAAGATAGAAAAGAATTGGACAAGAGCAACACAGGAATGCAGTAAGGCAAACATTAAGCCTTGTTGCTCCATGCCTGGCACCCAGGACACTCAGTAGTAAAATGTGAGTTCCATAGGGATGGGGTGGCCTCACCTGAATGGCCATGCTGGTTGCAGCCCATTCAACCTTCTTTTTATGTTGCTCCACTCATGACTTGGAGCTCTCTTTGGCAGATATTCCATCTTACTGGTGTCTCTGAATTACTGGGTTCTCTATAGCACTTCTGGCTTCATTTCCACAGCTTCAAAAATTTCCCTTTTGAGGCTCCTTGCCTGGACTTCTAGGTTTTCCTTTGATATATGGATGGAAACTTCACTGACCTCTTAAGTCTTACATTTTACCTATCAGTAAAACTAACATCATATGCATCATGCCAAGATCTTCCACCAGCTTGAGTGGTACCCACACCTCTCTCATACAAGGAAATAAATCCAGATGATCAATTCCCTAGCAGACCTTTCCCAAGGAAGCATCTCAGGAACTCTTTTCTCAAATGAAAAATTTATACTTTTTCACTCTTGAGCCTATAAGGATGGGGTCTTGCTGATTTTGGTGATGTTCTAAAGGCATTTTTCTTATTCTCATACAAAGCACTTGATTTATTTTCAATAGTTCTGATCTTCTGAGCTCTGGCCAGAATCATTCAACAAGCTCTGTATGCAGCATTATAAGGGTTCTATAGGCCACATCTCCAGGCTTTCCAAATTCCTACTGCATATCAATTCCAAAGTTAACAAAACCACATGATCATGTGTAGCCACCATGGCACTGTTATCCTAATGTAAACCACCTCACAAGCCCAAACAGACATCAATGTATATTTGTCATGGCATTGTTTAAAATGAAAAAAAAAAAATGGAAACAATGTAATAAATAAAATGAGAGAAATGACTAAGGTGCATCATATAAAATCATAACAAAAGATGTTTTTGAAGCATTTTGAGAGAAAAACCTGGCATTGATGAGAACTACTGATAAAATGTAATATGAAAGTGATTATGTTATTAAAATGGATTTTATCAAACTTTTAAAAAATATGTAAAATTGCATTCAACTACAAGGTCTTAATTTTTGTTCTGCTCTCTACTGCAACATAGGTTGAGTGCCATCCATATTTCACCCAGCCAAAACTCTTAAAATATTGCCAACAACATGATATTGTCATCGTTGCATATAGCCCTTTGGGGACTAGTAGGAATCCACAATGGTAAGTAATGCTAAACATCTCCTCAGAATGTATTTTATTTGATACAGGCTATAAAATTAAAGAAAAAACTACTTGGTTGGAAAGGTTCTATGTAGCTGTGCAATTTTAAGGAAGTAACATTTTTCACATAATTATCCATATAAATGAATTAGGCGGGCTGGTGAGAAGGCTCAGTGGTCTAAAGCACCTACTTAGAGCAAGCTAAGCTAAGCAAAAGCACAGGGACCACGGTTCAATCCCCAGCACCACATGCCAGCCAGCCCTGCCCCCTGGTGGGCTGAACTGGCCACACACACACACACACACACACAAATAAATAAATAAATAAATAAAATTTTTAATGAATTAGGCAATAATAGTATCTTCCTAACTGGGATGCTTTAAGTGTTGATTACATAAAGTATATGAAGTTATATATCAGTACCTCACATGAGAAAATGCTCAATAAAATTTAGTTTAATCATTGCTTGATTTACTTTTTATGCCCTTGTGCAAAATAGACTGAACTATTCAATCTGTGTACAGTGATGATTGATTAATTCTTGGTTCTCACCACGCCAGCCAAATATGATGCATGTTTTTATTTCTTTAAAGGGTGAATTTATCTTCTCCACCTTTGCTAGAGGATGCATATTTAAACTCAGTGGCAAAAAAGTACAATAAGACAGCAGCTCAAATTGCTTTACGTTTCAATATTCAAAGAGGAGTGGTTGTCATTCCTAAAAGCTTTAATTTTGAAAGAATGAAAGAAAACTTTCAGGTAAGACAATTACTTCAGAAACTTGTAAATGTGGATCTATGTGTTGATCTATTTTCAGAGAATATCCTTGGAAATTTCAATCACTAATACCTAATAATTTCTGCATAACTTAAACCTCAAATGACCTCCTACATTAGCAATTAGCCGTTCTATAACTCCCAACAAATTGTAACTGTAATCTTTTTTCTGCATTTTAGGGAAGGGTCTACTGGGTGTTCAGGGTCTCACTACTAGATCAGACGCATAGTGATTATCTTGTTTACAGCCTCCCAAGAGCTGGGATTACAGGCCCGCTCCACCACCCAGTCTCAATCACAGGCCCAGCACACTCCAGGAGCAGGAGCTGCACAGCAGGTGGAGAGATGGAACCTCCAGTCCTTGCACCTGCTTGAAAGCACTTTAATCTGCTGAGCTATTTGGCCAGTCCTGTAACAGTAATCTTAAAAAATAAATTCCAGTATATATCTTCTTTCTTCTCCACCCATTTCCACTTCTCTTTTATAGCAAATCCCAGAAAAGAGAGATCTCTTCTCATTTCCTATTTCCTCACTCTCCTCTAGATCCATTTAAGCCAGGCTTTTACTTTGATCATCTGAGTAGAAGAATTCTTCTCAAAGTTACCAGGGCTATCTAGGAAAGCTCTTCTTAAAAAACCTTTCATCCAGTTTTAATAGACCAAATGCTCTCTCCTTCTTAAAATATTAACTGTAATGGGAATGCAGGTTTTGATATAAGTAGTTGAATTTTGTAATATAAAAGCCACATTCACTTAATATAATTTGTGAAAAAAAAAAAACAATTCTCACTGAATTCAAAACGTGATTTTTTGTCAGCGAGGATGGATTCCAAAAGGAGAATTTTGAGCTTTACTGACAAGAATCAAAAAATTAGTAGATAAAAACTACTCCAAAAATTGCATGTCAAAGCACTAAAATAGAAAAAGAGTCAAGTCAGGAACCAAATTGTGCAGAATGAAAATGACAACCTTGTTGAGCACAAGAAATTTCTCAGGTAATTACAGGATGAGCAGGTTGAGTTGGATATGGAAGAAGTCATCCAAAAAGCAGAAGAAAACAAGAGATTAAGGGAAGGTCAGCTTGAACAAAAAAATAAATTGGCTATGGAATTGGCAAAATTGAAACATGAAAGTCTGAAAGATGAAAAGATGAGGCAACAAGTAAGAGAAGACAGTACTGAACTCAGAGAATTGAAGAAGAAATTAAGAGCAGCTTACACGAATAAGGAGAGGTCAGTCCGGATTGTTGAGAGAGAAGCCATTAAAATGAGCAAATGAAATATGATGCTGAAACAGCCAAAACCATGATGGAAGAGCATGAGAGAGCAATGAAGGAGGAAAATGCTGTAGAAGACAAATGAAACCAAGAGAAAGCACAATACACTCTTGACTAAGAGAAACAACTTGAAGAAGGAAAAAGAAAGCAGGAAATTTATGAGCAGTTGCTGAAAGAAAAACTCATGTTGATGTAATTGTTTGGAAAATACATGAAGATCAGTTGGAAAGACAACAAAAGTTAGAAAAAATGAACGCAACTTGGAAGTACATTGAAGAGCTTCAGAAGGAGCAGGCTCTGTGGAGGAAAAAAAAAATGTGAGGAGATGGAAGAGGAAAATCCTAGAGTTGGCCAACATGCAGCAGCAAAGAGAAGAAAGGATGGCAAAACTTCAAGAAATTGAGGGGGAAAGGCTGCAGCTTCAACATATGCTGATTCTGAAATTAGAAGAAATGCTGTAACAGCATGAAGATTTGGAACAAATGCAACAAGAATTGTACCAGGAAGAAGCAGCTGAAATTTATAAGCAGAAAATTAAAGAAGCAAAAGAGAAATTGAGAAAACAAAATGAGATGAAGCAAGATATTGAAGAATAAATGGCCTTGAGAGAACTAATACAAAAGGCTGCAAAAGAAGAGGAAATCTTTAGAAAAACTATACTAGCTAAACTTGCTGCAGATGATCAGATAGAATTAATGGATGCTCAGAAACAAAGCATGAAGCAGTTGGAACACAGAAGAACTGTGGAAAAATTTATTGAAGAATGTTGTAACCAGTTCCTTGCAGACAAGAAAGGTGAATTGGAAAAATGGCAGTAGCAGCAAAAAAGACAAGGGCATATCAATGCAATTATTTCAGAAGAAAGGCTAAAACTTGTCAAAGAACATGCTACAAAATTGTAAGGATATCTCTATAAAGGAATATTTAAAACAGAAGATTATGTTGATATGTTTGGTGAAGTATTTAGGAAAGTGTATCAGAAGAGGAATGGAATTTGTGAAGACAAGTGATAGCAAGATTTGGTAAAACCTGGATTCTTTTGTATGTAACCACTAGAATGTCATTGTAACTTTTATTTTGGTTTAATTACAATAGGAATCAATTGTCTTACTTGAGTTTTCTAAAATGTCACTTTATTTCATAATTTATAAACAATTGTCAGATAAAAGTTAAACAGCTTAATGTCTTTCTAGATTTTATAACAACCCCATT